ATGTGTGATCATGAAGGGCCAAAGGGACCAGGCTTCAAACACCAAAGGCAGGGGGTGGGGATCCTATCCTCGTCAATGAGGGTGGCACGTGATGGGGACCCAATGCCCATCTCTAGACAAGTGGACATACCTTGCAAAGGGGTAGTGGGGAGATGAGTCACTTAGGGTTCAGTATAGCAATAGTGAAACCCACAACCTTCCTCTAGTTCTTAAACGCTTCCTCCCCCCAACTACCAGGACCCCAATTCTGCCTTGCAGACCTGGTTAGACCAGATGATGCACAGGGTACAGATGGGAATTGGAAACACAGGGAATCTAGGACAGATGAATCCCTCAGGACCAGGGGTGACAGTGGCGATACCAGGAGGGAAAGGGGGTGTAGAAAGGGGGAATGGATCTACATATAACCTCCTCTCTGGGGGATGGGCAGCAGAGGGGTGGGTGAAGGGAGACGCCGGGCAGTGTAATATGAGATATAATAATAATTTATAAATTATTAAGGGTTCATGGGGGAGGGGGGAGGGAAAAAATGGAAAATGAGCTGATTCCGGGAACCCAAGAGGAAAGCGAATTTTGGGAATCATGAGGGCAACAAATGTGTAGGTGTGCTTTACACAATTGATCTATGTATTGTGATGAATTGTATGAGCCCCAATAAATTGATTGAAAAAAAGAGTGAAGTACAGGAGGGAGAAACATAGTGATATGCACATTTAGCCTTATATTCTTGGGCAGACATAACATTAATGGGCACCAATCCTTTCCTCACCGCATTTTTCTTTTTTCACATTGCTTTTGTTAGGTCCTATGGAGTTGGTTTTAACCCGCAGTGATCCTATGCATCACAGAATGAAACACTGTCCAGTCCTGTGCCATCTTCACAAGGATTCCTAGGCCTGAGCCCAGTGTCACAGTCACTGTGTCAATCTCTTACTGAGGGCCTTCCTCTTTCCCCTACCCTTCCATTTTACCAAACACAATCTCCGTCTCCAGCGACTGGTCTCTCCTGACATGTCCAAAGTATCTAAGATGAAGTTTTGGCATCCTTTTCTCTAAGGAACTCTGTGGTCTTATTTCTTCCAAGACAAATCAGTGTGTCCTTTTGGCAGTCCATGGTACTTTCAATATTCTTCTCCAGCACCATAATTCAGATGCATCGACTCTTCTTCAGTCTTCTGTATTCATGGTCCGACATTCACACGTATGTGAGGCGATTGAATATAACATGGCTTGGGTCAGATGTCTGGGTTTAGTTCTCAAAGTAATATTCTCATCTCATCATTATTAAGAATTTCTATAAGACAACCTTTTCTGTGACTGTTGGTGGAATTTTCTGAAACACAAACCCAGTTGATCCTAAGGAAACCTAGACTGAAGATCATGAACAAGCCTATGGCTATGAATGACACACAACTTCAAGGCCTGCATCTTCCCTTGGAAGAGCTTGCTCCCTTCAATGTAGGGTAGATTAGGAGAGATTTCTATCATATAGGCAGGGATGATACTTTACTCCCTATAAAAGCAGGAAGCAGATATAAGACAGACCTCATCCCTGACCCCATACAGAATTATTTGTGAAATCTCTCAGGTGGGGAATGAGACAGGGCAAGAGAGTGAAGGTGGAGATTTGGACAGAGCATGTGCTGAATCCATAACATCTTGGGACTACATGTCCCAGAACCCTTTGTTGCAAGCAGGAATCTTTAAAATGCAGTATCTACATGCAGGAAGTAAGAAAAACTGAGACTGGACATGCTGGCTGTTAAAGACTTGTTCCTCCTAGGTGTTTCTAAATAAAACTGTGATGCATTGTCTTCCAAAAGTAAATATTTCTATTGGTAAGACAAGAACCTGCATTCCATTAACACTAATGAACTTGCCATGGGGCTAGGAACAGTAGGTACTAAATATGTATTTATCGACTTGTTGATAATTTGCTTGCAAATATGTTAGTTAAGTGAAACACTTGGTTTTAAATTTAAAGATTGAACAGTGAGAATGTTGGGTGTCAAATTTATGCCATTAACTAACTCATCTAGATAAGAAAAAAACTGTGGGGCTACTGAAACATTAAGGCTGGAAACTTTGGATTGTAGTTGTTATTCTGCTCTTCTGTAGCCTCACTTCTTAAAAAGTTGTACTTTAAACGATAGCCCAGCTTGGAGTGGCCAATGCACAGAGAGGACCATATGGCCGGCCCCACTGTGAGATGCGACATCCTGCACTTACCCATGGCCCTACATGGGACAGCACTGGAGACACAGTGTGGGATGTGTGACTGAGCTGACCCCACCACACGGAGGCAAAACACTTGGGGCGTGCGATAAAGCTGCAGGGGAAGCAGAGCAAGGAGGTCCCGAGGGAGTAACAAGGATAGATTTTGGGGCCAGGGTGTGGCACCCCATCAGACTCATCCGGAAAACACTCCTAAAGGTCAACAAACAGATCTTGAACTATTAACAGGCTTTTCTTTCTTTTTTAATTTTTTTCCCTCTTTTTTTTAGATTTTGTATCTGAGTGGCTTTTTTGTTAGTTTGTCAGTGTTGCTGCCATCATCGCCATGTTCTTATGTGCCACTTTGTTTGGTACTGTCGAGGCCATCTGCAATTTTGTGTGCATATTATTATCTCTGCTGGTCTAACTAGATAAGAACGGCTGGATAAATAATGTGAGAAGAAAACAACGGGACCAAAGGTCCCGGGGGAACATGGGAGAGTGGGAAGTGGGGGAAGGGAGGAGGTGTTGGCCAACCCAGGGACAAGTGGTTCAAAACCAGTGGCAGGGAGGGGATGAGAGGACTGGCAGGGAGTGACCAAGGGCAATGCAACCAAGAGGAATTACTGAAACCAGATTGAAGGGTGAACATGGTAGTGGGACAGGAGGAAAGCATAAAGAAATAGAGGAACGAAGTAGGAGGCAAAGAGCATACATAGAGGCCTAAATACAGACATGTACATATGTAAATATATTTATGATTATGGGGGAAATAGATCTACGTGCATATATTTAAAGGTTTAGTAGTAGGGTAGCAGGTGGACATTGGGCCTCCTCGCGTGCATTCCCTTAATACAAGAGCACTTTGCCCAACTAAACGGTCATTCCATAATACTCACCTTCCTGACATGATCACTGAAGACAAACGTGTGCATAAGCAAATGTGGTGAAGAAAGCTGATGGTGTCCGGCTATCAAAAGACATAGTGTCTGAGTCTTAAAGGCTTGAAGGTAAACAAGCAGCCATCTAGCTCGGAAGCAACAAAGCCCACAGGGAAGAAGCACACAAGCCTGTGTGAACACGAGGTGTCAAAGGGATCAGGTAGCAGACACCAAAGAACAAAAAACATCATTGTGTGATCACCTTCCCCACTTAAACGCTGAAGACGAATGTGTGCATAAGTACCGTGTTTCCCCAAAAGTAAGATATCCCCCCCAAATAAGACCTATTTACAGTTTTGCCTCTTGCTGAAATATAAGGCACCCCCGAAAACAAGACCTCCCTGATAATAAGGCCCCCTGAAGCTACTGTAACTCTGGATTCTGGACCATAGTGGTGGGCGCCACCACGCAGCTCACTATTGGCTGCAGTGCAGCCAGAGTGGACAGGAAATGCGAGGTCTCTTTTAATCAGAGAGCCTGTACCACCGCCACGACAAGCTGCCGCCTGCTGCTTGCTCTGCCCTGACGGAGTCTGGCTGACTCACAATTAGACAGTGAGTTGCGCGGGGCAGGAGTCGGACACATTGTGTGGACACACAGGGGTGACTGAGGTAGGGGGGAAATGTCTGATAAAGGGGTGGGGGGGGATGTCTGGTGAAAGTGTCCACTGGCACAGGGGTGGGGGGAGGGGGATCACTTAAAATAGCATAGGAGGATCAGAAGGGGTTATAAAATGATAACCCCCCCCTCTGATTCTCCTGTCATTTTGATTCCCCCCTCTGATCCTCCTGTCATTTTAAGTGACCCCCCCCCCATACCCCAGTGTCATTTTGTTTTTACCCCTAGAGATGAGCGCAATAAGAAAAAGCTACTCCATGGAGTACAATAAAGGAATCGTGGAAGACTCTTGGGGCCAAAATCTTACTGCTTTCTGCAAAGAAGATGTTGAGTATCCGACTGGTCCAAAAATGGCGAACAGAGTATGGAACCACATTGAACAAGTGGACAAGGGAAATGCTAAAAAGCGCAAGTGTGGATCAGGTCGGCAACCATTATTTTCTGATTGATCTGTGAATGGGTTGTTGACAGGAGAGCAAAGGTTCTGGTTGTGAATAAGGCTCAGATTCAAGAACTTGCTCTTGCAATGGCTCCACAGTTTGACATAGCCCCTGAAGATTCCAAAGCATCACAACACTGGCTGGATAGTTTCCTTCAGGGAAGTGAACTGTCTCTAGGAAGATCCACAACACTGTTTAGGCGGGAAGATGCTCAAGTTATTAAGAGAGCACTTGCATTCAAGTCCTTTATTGATGATGCTGACTTCTCTAAATACAATCTTTCCAACATGATTGCTGTGGATGAAACTGCAGTGTTTATGGGCCAATCATCTCAAACAACAATTGAACAGTGGGGTGCCTCCTCAGTGTACATTCCCTCCACTGCTTACGAAAGTGCACGTGTTTCCTGTATTTTGGCAATTCGCCTGGATGGCACTAAAATCCCACCTTTAATCATTTCTAAGGGCAAGAAGGAAAAGATTGAACGTGTTTTGGGCATTTTTATTCTTGAAACTGAAAAAGCCTGGGCCACACAAGCAGTTATAAGGAAGTGGGTTGATTTAATGCTGTCGCTTGTTATGTGAGGGAGCCAAAGAGGTCTGAGGGTCTGGGATGCAGAACTGTCCATGTGGGTTTCCAAGACTGTAACTCTTAGACCTTGTGGTTAGCAGCCCAAGACACAACCACTATACTACCAGAGCACCTTTTCCCTAGCCACAGAATGCTTTCAGTTTGAGACCCTGGAAAAAGACAGGCATCATGTGACACACGAGATCAGAGAAGAGACTGCCATTGTAAAAGCTTTATTTTCACTTCCTTGTGGTCTTACACAGACTCGGAGCCATCATTAACCGTATCAATTTGGCTTCTTTACGTTTTCTTGTAAGATTTTTCCTTAAACAAGAAAACTGAATAAACAATGCACATTGCCTGTTAATCTTTTTAACAATAATTTTAAATGTTGTTACTGTTGTATCATCAATGCAAGAGGAATGACAATAAAAGTACAGTACAAAGAAATTCACAATATATTATAGTGAAACACATAGACTCACACTGAGGTGACAGCGAGAATCAGCAGCGATATGTACATGCACTCAGTGCTGGGAACCCAAGACATGCAAGGCAAGGAGAAGATGTGGACTGCACAGTGGCTCTGTGCACTCCTCTGAGGACTCTGTACCTTTCCAACACATTGACTTGTGTCCCCTCTAGTTTACATAGATACTGGCCTTGTCTATTGTCTTCATGGCTTTTCCATTACAAAGTTCAGATTCAGTCAGAAGCATTTCAAAAATTCTTAAATAACACTGACAAAATAAAATTAACTTACAATACTCTAATTCAACATGGAAGTGAACTAAACCAAAATAGGACAGTGGGAATCTAACAGAAAGGCAGTTATTACTGAAAGTGAGGGCATTCAAGATCTCTTAAAATGTACATTTTTAAAACTTTTATTTTTAAATTTTGTATCATACTTACCTTTTATTTCATATATTGTGCATAAAAAAGATGCAGACAAAAATAGTTTTCTGAGCTATGAAAAAAATTAAGTTATTACAGGCACATTTACTGTTTCATTCTAGAAACATTGCAGTTTCACAGGTTGAACATTCAGTATCTGTGTGTTTTTAGAAAACATTATTTGACCTTGGGAAATCCAGCTCTCTCCGTCTGGGCAGAGGTTGGTTCATGACGGTAAGGTGGTTTGCAAATTACAGTGAATTATGCTGTGATAATTCATGCATGCTTGCATCTCGGGTGCAGCTTCTCCACTGATGGCTCCGTGTCACACTGGTCCTCCATGGGCAGCAGATCTCCAGAGGCCTGAGGTATTGAGGCAGTGGGGAATTGTGGAGCCCAACGGGATGGCGGGCGACGATTTGCTGGTCTCTCAGGCCTGGAGAAGCAGGGCTCTAGGGAAGGGGCGAGCGCTGAACAAGGCAGTTCCTTCAGGATGGGGGTTGGGGTGGAGGGGTCGAGGGAGGAAAGAGAGCATTATTCAGATGAGCAACTTCTTTATGTATTAATTCTCCCCAATTTTTTAATAGATGAACGTTAAATGCAACTTTGAATATTAGTTACTTTCTGCTCTTGAAGAATAACTGACAAGTAAGCAAGCGGACTACAAGCCAATGGCTACAATGATAGGATGACATAAAATTATCATTAAAAATATGGCAATACTGTGATAGGGATTTCCATGTATAGCTCCTTCAGAGGGGATGGGAGCATCGGGGGAAGCAGCTGTGGCTGTGGTCTCCACAACCCACTTCATCATATTCTAACTGAACTGCTTCAATGATTTCGGCTCTCTAGAATTATCTTATGAGGTCAATAGGACATATTCCTAAAAAGCCAGGCTTCTGCCTGGGTTTGTCTGGGTCCATTGCACCCAGCAGTCTGAGCAAAGACTCAGCCTAAACTAAATCATGCTACTGTTTACCTCACACTGACTGTCAGTATGGTAAACAGATTCTGACATGTTAAAAATGCAGGCAGAAATTTACATTTGGGCTTAGTGTTCTTTAATGATTATTCATTCAAGCAGCATTTAAAGAAGTGGAATTGGAGTATGCATGTGTGATTTTGTGTTTCACACCTCCTACACATTCTGCAAACTGATCAATACAATACACATGCCACCCAGTGCAACTTGCTGGCACACAGATATGAGGTATGAGGAAAACATTGGACTTCTCTACCCAAATGATGCCCAAATAGCCAGAAGCCAAGATGGAAAGCCACTGCAATGGAAGGCAGAGGAAAAGTGAAGATGGAATTAACACCCTTCATCTCATCCCACCCCGTCCTGTGAATCCTGCATTGGAGAATTTGAAGAGAGATGACGTGCAATGGAAAAGATCAACAGTGAAGCAGGAAGGGTGGTGAAACAGAACAGGTGAGTCATTCAGCAATGTTATAATGTGGGAGGAAACACACAGGGGACCATAAGTGACAACATGGCCCCATGGCAGTATGGAACACAGAGGCACACATAGAACAATGGCTTGAGCTGGTTCCCCTGCCTCCCTAGTATGATCAGCAGAAACTTCTTAAGGTTCCGGGCTGCTTTTGTGGTTGACATTTCAGGTTATAAGGGAAGAAGCCTCAGCAAAGCACTTATACCAGTGGTACCATGACAAGCAATCTCTGTCCAGGTAAAAGCTACATCAGCGTCAATGCTGAGCTACAAACTAACTCGTGCGATGCCTGCATCCTTCCCTCACTTCAAAAGGAGATAGAGCTCGGGAAATCTGCTATTTTGAGACCTTCTTTGAGACAGAAGTTGACACAGGAAGAGAAGCACTGCTATTGTGGTTTTGTGTCTTTTTGTATCTCTGAGCTGATTCTTTTAAGTGCAGTCTATGGATATATGTGTGTTCTTGGAAAGGCTCTGCTATAGGTATATTCTGCCAACATTGCTGCAACCCACTGTACCACCTTGCTAATTCTGAATAAGAGTGGGCTGTTTACTAGAAATCTTGACACTGCTCCCTGACCCCATCACTCACGGGCATTTCTTTATAGATTGCTACAAGGAAAAGAAAAAGTGCATCACCACTGCACACAGAAAAACAGTGATGTCTTTTCCCCTGACAAGTGCCTGTGGGGTTCCTGCATACCTCCAGTGTCAGGATGCATTCCTTACACTGTGCTACCCTAGTGATCCCTTGGAAGGACAAGATACCTGTGGATTCATTCCTTCAGGTATGAGTGTTGGTATGAAAAAAAAAAGAAAAAGAAAAAGTATCCTGAAATAGAGTATACCCGATTGCAGATCACACAGGTGGGTTAAGAGCAAGAGAGGATCAACCTGGAGATAGACCTGTTGGACAAGCCTGAGACACTACTCTTCCACTGTATAGTCCATTTACCCTCACAAGGGGGCAGAAAATTTCAGTGGATACAGTAGGTAAAACTTTCAATACCCTAAGCACTTTTCTTCTCACTGAGCAGTCAACACTGGAGAGGGCAAGTGGGAATTTTTAGGCTTGCCAGTCATCCCCCATCAGTGTGCTAAGCCACACAGAACGCTTGGTGAGTGTGCGAGGTAGCCTTTGTGGGAACAGCCTTCTATTTCAGATAACTTTGCTTTGCTTGTGAACAGCAGACGCCAACCATGAGGATATGAAATGACTTCTCCAGACAGTTTGGAAACAAGAAAGAAAGCACTTACAGCATCAGGCAGGCAGGCTAGAGTCCCCAGGGGGCAGTTAGTAAGACAGTTTGGTTCTGGACAGAACAGACAGAGAGAGAAAAGGGAGTAGGTTGGAAAGTTTTTGTTTTTTAAGGAGAACAGAGTAAATGTCTTATAGTCAGCATGCACAATGCGTGACAAGAGCGCCACAGAATTGGGCACTACACTCAAGGTAGTGTGGAGTCTAGTGCTGCCCTCTCAGTCAAGGTCTTCGCAGCTGCCTTTAGCTCAGAGCGAGGAAGGAACCACCTGAGACCCAAACACACATCATGCGAACAGTCTAGCTTTCATTCTTCACACTCTTGTCCAGCTGTTTTTCAGTATACCATTTCAAACAAATTTGTAAAAGAAGAGATTTGAAACAGGTCATGATGGGCCCTGGTTTTGCTTGGTCACAATCAAGCCACACTTCTCATACTAAAAACGACCCCCCACGTGGAAGTGAAGACTAGCATTACATTTTCACATTAAACTCTTTCTTTTTTACCCTGAGACGCTTTTGGGTGAAACTTCTCTCTGCATTACATAATCAATATTCTAGCTTCAAGGGGAAGGATTACCTAAATACGAGTGTGAGAGTGAAGTGAGAAAGGGGGACTTTCTCTTTTCTATTGTCCATATTCTTAGTGCAAGTATGCCGAGATCAACCCCTGTATCTACACATCTGAGGTCAGAAAGGTCCCATAAGAGAATGCTTAGAGTAGGTGGGGAATTAAAATAGGCTCAGTGGTGGTTCTGGTTATTCTGGAATGAGAATTCAGAACTCTTTCATAATGTATGAAGTGACAAATGAATTTCCAATTGGTCTTACACTTTATGCTAATTCACACCAGGGATAAACTCACTGGAGTATCTAGTACAAGTGAAATCGTAACAACAGAGAAAACCCCTGCGATAGTTGAGCAATACCACTTGAGTAATGAGTGCTTCCCATCGGTCTGGGTCCAAGATGGGGCAATGCTCCTGCCAATCCCCTCTTGGGGTAGCCAGCATGCCGAGTGAGAAGGAAACCTAAACCTATATTAGACAGAGGATTAGAGGCGGGGGACACTGTAGTTCTTCACGGATCTCATGCTCTAGTGCTATAATTCTGCCACTTAACCATTTCGTTTTGCATTGTCTGGACTTCCAGGAGCAGTCATTGCAGTAATTCAAGGCAACTTTTTGTTCCTAAAAAATCATTTATATTTAGTTTCCAATATAGAGGATACCACAGCCATAGTCAAGTTGATGCTTTTGGACAAAGCTCCAATCTCAACGGATTCCTGTAGAGCCCAAGGAGGGCAAGGCGTGTTTACACATACACACACACACACACACACACACACACACACACACACACACTCTCTCTCTCTCTCTCTCTTCCACAGCGGTGACACTTACCTGTGGGTCCAGAGGGACTGGATGACAGAGCCTGCAAAGGATATAATTTGTCACCTGAAAACATGCAACCAGCAATATCTGTTCTCCACAAAATAGATAAGCAACTTTAATATAGAGCACCATAGCTTAAGCCACCTATCAGTAGTTTTCTGGCTGAGACTATGGATGCACAGGAATGCAAGGTAGAGTATTTTGCAGACTTGGACAACTAAAGGAAGAACGATGGAACATGGTGGTGTCATTAGGAAAGCTGGGGGCCCGGCTGTCTGACTTGGAGGTAAGTATAGAAGGAGGCCGGTGAGTTTTGGCCTTCTTGAGATCCCTGAAAAATAGGTCATTCTATATTCCTAGAATACTCTGCTTCCTAGACTACTGCAAGAAAAATCCTGCTCAGAAGAATCCTAAATTCTCTGAAGACTTTTGTTAACCAGGAAGATTATCAAGGTCCATATTGAAGTATATGAGTCATTTATAGGAGCCATGTATATATTCTCTGGAATTTCATAGAAATTTATAAGAACAGAATTATGATAAATGCACATTGTAATTTTTTTGAAGTATCGAGTAAGTTGTAAAATTTTCAATGTAACAATAAAAAAATAAGATATGCTAGCCTGTGCTTCAAGTGCATTTTGGGTGTATTTTGATATATTCATTCTTTTTAAATGCAGTAATATAACACCATAAATAAAATATTACCATAATTAGCATATATTTATAATCATGAAAATATTTTGGCCAACAAAAAGGAAAGAATTATTCACAACAATGATATCATCAAAAGTTCTTGGTCCTAATTGGAAAACTTCCAGTTTCTTGCATAAATGTTTATATATTAAAAACTATTTAAATATTTGCTTCCAATTTGTAATTAATGAACAGGTATAGAACACTGTACAAAACGCAGAATCTACAGATTAAGCTTTGTTTATTACTTGTGCGTTATAAATCATTATTCAGTCTATACAACTAATTGAAATAATTTTAATGAGTATATGATAATTATAAGAAAATCTCACTTGCTCTCTCTTTGATTATTTACATAATTTCTTCAAATAGACCTAGAATTCTGATGATACTTTATAGTATAACTTTACTGTACTTTATTTGCATATTCTCCTTATCCAAGAAATAAAGAGTGATATAAGGACTGAACAGTATATTTTTATCAATTTTGAAACATTCTCTCGATCTTTACCAGAATTACATTATTTTACTGAAAAGTTTTAAAAATACCTTTAAAGTACTTTGAAATAAGTGCAGTAATAATTAAGCACATATGAATATACAGAAATATAAGTACATTTTGAGATAAAAGGAATAGAAATATGACCAACTGGGAAGGTCCTGGAGAAGGAGTCTATAGTAGACAAAACTAAGGTTGCCTGGGAGCCATAGCTCTGATCAGGAGAGGGATGTGATCTACCAATGCTTCAGGAAGATTCTTGTTTGTGCGTGTTGAAGTGTCGGGGATTGGGCAAGCCAGAGAAAATTCAGAGAAAGTTGTTAGAGGAGTCCAGAATCAGAAAAATTAAGGACTGCACTAGAGAGACCGTGGTAGTGAAACTGCACTTGAAAAATACCGATACGGAGAAGTTAGTACAGTTTCTAGTAAGGATGAAGCACAGATTACAAAGTTACAAGTCTCACTGAAAGTACCCACATAGAAACCCAAAGAATGATGAATGGTGTATCAGGATATCAGAAACGCCAAGTTCCCCAAAGGGGTTCCCAGGGTGGAATTTTGCATAGATGGTCCCCTGGGAACATCCACATACATGCGCACTCACATTTAACCAACCAACTCAAATGCTGGGTTTCAAGGAGAATGGGTCAGAGATAAACAAAACGATGTAATGATGCTGAGTAGAGACTGTAAGGGGAAAAAATTAAATTTAGTATTTAAATTTAGGAAGCAAGGCACCTCACCAAGAAACAAACAAATAAACCTTGGTATAATTTCTAAACTGAGACTTTAGAAACAAAGGCTGAAGCTTTCTGAAGGGTGTTTAGTAGCAAGGAGATATGAAATAGATTTATCAAAGTTAATTTTTAGTTATGAATTGTCTAGACTTGATGATGAGTGAGACAAAGGAGCTCTTGATGATCACTGCAGGCAGGATCAATGAAAACAGATATTGCCAGAAATCATTGAAAATAGCCAGGTGTGTCGGGCGAGATAAAATATTCATAGGAATAAAAATTCATAAGATCATTTAAAATGTAGTTGGGCACTACAATGTTCTTCTAAATAACATGAAAACAAGAAAGCTGATTATATAGAGAAATATTAATTGAATCAGTGTATGAAACATGAAATAAGCTAGTGTATGAAATATGAACTGAGCCAATATATTCTGGAAAAGGGGAAATGGAAAAAGCTGAAAGGCAAGTAAGGACAGGGCAAGCCAAACATGACCAAATCATTAATTGCCTTTTGAATTGCACCAGGAATGATCCACACAGCTCTCACTCAGAGCATGTTTTGAAGGCTGCTTCAAGAGGCTTGCTAGCAAAGTAGGTTAAGAATTGGGCTGCTAATCACCAGCCACTTTCTGAGAAGATGAGGTTGTCTGCTCACGTGATAATTTGGCCTTGAAAATCCTAATGTGCTTGATGTGCAGTGGGTGGACCTCAAGAACATCATTCAGGATGAAAGCAAAAGTTATTTTAAAAGGCAGGGAAGAAAAGGTCAGTGTGGATGTGTTAGTCTGGGTAGTTTGGAGAAACAAATCCACAGCGACTCATATATGAGAGAGTTTTATGTAAAGAAAAGGTGCATCACGAAAACATCCCAACCCAATGCTGCCCAAGCCCACAAGTCCAACATTAACCCATTTACCCAACACCAGTCCACAAAGTCCTCCACCTCACAAAACAGAGGCAATGATGCCGACTGCAGGAGGAAAGCTGAGTCAGTGAACAAATAAACATCTCAGCACTAGCAGGGGTCTCCACACGGCTGCTCCAGCACCCAGGGCTGCATCGGGATAGGTCCATGTAGCTTCTCCTTGGGGATGTCGTGTAGGAAGTCAATCTTGCAAGCTGAAGCAGGAAACTGCTAAGGCAGCTGCACCCGGTGCAACCATCACAAAACAAGAGACCTGAGAACTAGAAAGGTGAGGCTCACCACCCATTTATCCCTCCGCCTTTCATTAGCCCCACATGTGATTATTGGCCAGGCTGGCACAATTAATTAACTCAGTGGATGTCGGAAGAGATTCAAACTTGCTCTAAATCACAGAATAGCCAAGGCAAATGGAAGAAATGATGAACTCAAAGATTTGAACAGAAAATTACCAAGAAAAGCTCAACAAGACAAAGTCAAATATTATAATGAAATGTGAAAAGAACTGGAGTTGGAAAACCAAAAAGAAAGAACATGTTTGGCTAATCTTAAACTGAAAGAATTCAAGAAAAAATCCAAGCCTCATGGTACAATACTGAAAGATTCTATGGGCAAAATATTGAATGACGGAGGAAGCATCAAAGATGAGGGAAAGAATATGCAGAGTCATTGTACTAAAAAAACTAGTAGACATCCTACCATTTCAGGAGGTAGCATATGAGCAAGAACCAGTGGTACTGAAGGAAGAAGTTCAAGCTGCACTGAAAGAATTGGCCAAAAACAAGGTTCCAGGAATTGTTGGAATACCAAATGAAATACCTCCACAAAATGATAAAACACTGGAAGCACTCACTCATCTATGTCAGGAAATTTGGAAAACAGCTACTTAAGGGACCAACTCAAATCCATATTTGTACCCATTCCAAAAAGGTGACCCAACACAATAGTATGATTATAGAACAATATCATTAATATCATATACAAGTAAAATTTTGCTGAAGATCATTCAATAAGGCTTGCAGCAACAAGGAACTAATAGACGCAGTGGTTTTCAATCTTCCTAATGCTGCGACCCTTTAATACAGTGCCTCGTGTTGTGGTGACCCCCCACCATAAAATTATTTTTGTTGTTACTTCATAACTGTAATTTTGCTACTGTTATGAATCAGGTGACCCTCTGTGAAAGGGTCATTCAACCCCAAAGGGGTTGCAACCCACAGGTTGAGAACCACTGTAAGAGGTTCAGGCTGTATTCAAAAGAGGATGTGGAACAAGGGCTAACATTGCTGATGTCAGATGGATCTTGGCTGAAAGTAGAGAATACCAGAAAGTTGTTTACTTGTATTTAATTGACTACAGAGGCATTTGACTGTGTAAAGCATAACAAACTATGGATAGCCTTGAGAAGAATGGGGATTTCAGGACACCTAATTGTGCTCATGCAAAACTCGTACATGGATCAAAACAAGTGTGAACAGAACAAGGGAATATTCTATGGTTTAAAATCAGGAAAGGCATTCCTCGGGATTGTATCCTCTGACCATACTCATTCAATATTTATGCTGAGAAAATAATCAAAGAAGCTGCATTATGTAAAGAACAATGCATTATCAGGTCTGGAGGAAGGCTTATTAACAACCTGCAATAAGCAGATGACACACTTTGCTTGCTGAAAAGTCAGGATTATAGCCTTCAGTGTGGATTATAATTCTGTGTAAAACCCACAAAAATTCCTTACGACTGGACCAATAGGTAACACCATGATAAATGAAGAAAAGATTGAAGTAGTCAAGGATTTTGTCTTGCTTGGGTTCACAATCAATGTTCATGGAAGCAGCAGTCAAGAGCTCAAACCACACATTGCATTGGTTAAGTCTGTTGTACAGGACCTCTTTAGAGTATTGACAAGCAAGGAGGTTCCTTTGAGGACCAAAGTGCATCTGACCCAAGCCATGGTGTTTTCAATCATCTAATATGCATGTAAAGTTGGACACTGAATAAAGAAGACTGAAGAAGAATTGATGCCTTTGAGTCAAGAATATTTAAAATGCCACAGACCACCAAAAGAACAAACAGATCTGCTTGGTAGAAGTACAGCCAGAGTACTCCTTAGGGGCAAGGATGGTGAGATTTCATCTCACGTTCTTTGGCCATGTTGTCAGGAGAGACCAGTCCCTGGAGACGGCCATCATTCTTGGTAAAACAGAGGGGCAGCGAGCAAGAGGAAGGCACTGGACAAAATAGCCTGACACAGTGTTTGCCACAGTGGGCTCAAACATTCTTGTGAGGATGGTGCAGGGCCGGGCAGTGTTCGTTCAGTTGTACACAGGGCTGCTATGATTTGAACGGACTCACTGGCACCACCACCATCGCCATGTTGTATGAATGTGAGACTGGTTTCCTCGTGGCTTTCACCACCAGCATTTAAGTGGGAATTAAAAAAAAAAAAGCCCCATATACAAGGGGTCTTCAAGAAGTCTGTGGAAAATTTTTATTATCTTTCAATTCCATTCTTCCATAAACTTTCTGAAGTCTCCTCATTCATGTGGCTATACATTAAAACAGAAGGCAAAATCAATTGATTTGTAAACATGCTAACCCACTAAAAAAACCATTGCCACTGTACTGATTCTCATAGATAGGGACTCCATACAATACAGTAGAATTGCTCCTTAAGGTTATGAGATTGTTTTTATGGGAGCCAACAGCTTTAATGATGCTGAGGGGGTTAATAATAATTATGCTATATTAAAGCAGCACTTTGGATGTAGTCCATTGATTCATCTGTGTTTATTGCTAGGGGGATTTGCAGACACAAAATGGCTAAGTGATCTTTGACATGATAAACTGCCACGTGTTCTTTCTGATGAGAGATGTGTCCGTTTCCAAACTGGCCAAACCTTCTCCAGCGCATCTCACTTTCTGTCAGCTAACAAGGCCTGGAACGTTCGGGAAAGACAGTTCTGACATACTTTTCAACACACACACACACACACACACGCACACACACTCATTTAGTAAACAAATTCATACAGAAAGAGGGCAAATAAAAAAATCCAGATAAAACACAGCATCCATCCTGTAAACATTGACCCGAGTCAAACAACATCCTCTGCGATTTTCTGCAGACAAGAAAATGACATATTCTTTGAAGAGCAGCTCAGAGTTATTTTTTGCAGCTTGTTCCATTCTCCCACAAACCCAATACTTCATAGCTCACAACGATGGACTATGAATGAGTTCGTATAACAGGTTCAAACATGACCCTATTTAAGTGAAAAGTCAGCAGGGTGAGGGTGAGAACACTCAGCCCTTATTACCTCCATGGACCCGGGTTCGGCTTTGCTCATCTCCCCTGGGTGGCCATCGCTGCTCAGATTCGGGGGACTGTGGGCAGCCTGCCTCCTCTCCTCCTGTAAGGCATGCTCCAGCAGCTTCTTGTTGAGGATTCGAGCGGTGTTTTCTGTGAGTGTGTGGCCAGGGGGTGCAGACAGGTCCTGCCTCATTGGGGTGCCCTCTCCCCCTTCCTCCCTGAATGTCTCCACTCCAACCCCGAGAGGGCTGGGTGACTGCCCCCGGGAGCTGGTGCCTGTTTCCTGGCCCAGCTCTGGTCGGGGTTCCACTGAGCGAGATGGGTTCCCGACTCGAGCTCCTTTCTGGAAAAGGTCCTGTGCCAGGGGGCTGTGGTCAATGATGTTGAAGAGGCTGGAGAGGCCATCATTGATGGTTGTGTGCACAGGGCTCTCCCTTGTGGTGGTGGAGCGTGCCCAGGCTGACTCGCTGTAGCCCTTTGGGGGTGTTCCTGCTGAGGTCCTGTTATTTGGCTGGTCGGCTTTTGCAAGTGGTTTCCTTTGCAGTTTGGGGGAGCCGTACTTAGGGGAGCAGCATGTGCGTTCGAACTTGGCCTGTACCTTCTCGATGGCAGGGGCCACCTGCCTGCTCCTAAGACCTCTGGAAGGCGAGCAAACGGGTGTGGTGCCACCCCCAGCCTTGGGTGTGAGACACTTGTGGGGACTGCTGGTTATACCTCCACGCAGGGCTTCAGTCTGCAGGCCAATGCTGAGGGTCTGGATGGTCTGTGTCCCGGCTGTCCGGGACCCATTGGTCTGGCAGGCAGTGTCCTTGACCTGAGGCTCTGCAGGGCACATGACACTCCTGACGGAGAAGGCCACTTCCTTCATGTCATCGCTCATGTTCTTGGACATCTCCAGGCTGTGCAGTGGAGAGGGAAACCCTAGGGAGGGGCCGAGGGAGCCCTCCAGAGAACAGAGTCTGCCATCCCCATAGTCCCGAGGCTGTCGGGGGAAGTCACAAGGCCACTTGCCAAACACATGCTCTGCTGGGCCTCCTTTGGCTTCCCCCACCCCTGCTCTGGCTCTGCCCGTGGGAAATGGCAACTCAGGTTCTCCTGGGCTCTGCTCCTCGCTGCCCGGGGCCGTGACCACTCCATCGAATCTGTGCAAAGCAGGCGGGCTGTGGAGCACGCGAACACCCGACCTCTCTGCGACCACATGGCTGCGAAGTGACTGTTTCGGGCAGTACTCAGGGTGAGTCATAGTGTCTGTGGTCATGGTGACACTTGTGGTGAGGTACCATGAAGAGTCAGGGAACGGATCTACGGCAGCATCAGGCCCGTCTTGCCCCACCTCGGTCCTGTCTGTCCAAGACTCTTGAGGCCTCCCCAGACCTGCTCTATCATGGTCGCTGCGGGAGCTGCAATCCCAGGCCTTGCTGTTGAACTCCTCAATGTACTTCAGATCATCAGGAGACAGGGGAGGGGTGGTGTCATCTTTGTTGCTCATGGAAGGCAGGTCCTGGTCAGGCAGGAAGGGAGAGATGTCCATCAGACGCTGGAACTCAGACATGGAGGTCACGGACACTGCCCTGTGGAAGGGGGAGAGACAGTCTGAGCAACCTGCAGGGTTCCTGATCCTCCCTCTTCTCCCTGACACTCATGAAGACACACAGTTGTGGGTCTCACCACAAGCAGTGCACCAGCAAATTGCAATGTGCCAGGGAGTCAGTCTGACACATGATTCTCGGGCTCTTGAAAACACTGCTCTCTACTCATGAGTTGAACAACAGAAGTTGTACAGACTTTTGGGGCCCAAAATTGGTCTGGGGCCTGCTGTTGGTCAGAATTTAATATAACAGACTCTCAAATACTGAAGCAACAAGTACAGGGGGCTGAGAGTAGTCACAGACCAATCTTCTACCCATCCTGGGGAATAGCTTCATGTTTAGCCTACTAGTATCCCCAAGAAGAGAAACATTCTGGGGTTGGGCAGTGGTCTGGGGTCCCTGGCAGCTGATGAGAGGGTCATTGCTACCATGCCCATGAACCTGCTAGTTCCAGGCATTAGTCAGTTGCTCACAATCCGAATGGACATCTCAACTCTCTAACTACCATCTGAAGACTCTTTTCCCCTCTTGCCTTACCCTCTTTTGGCTTAAGTACTAACAGTCTCTGAGGAATAAACGGAAGATGGGGATGAAGGGAGGGAAGGGGAGACATAGACTGGAAAGTGATTTCCAAAACAGATTGGAAATTTAAAAAGTAAAACATTTGGAAAATGATTTCCACTCTTATTAAAATAATAAAAAATCCACCTGCCCTTTCCCAATACACCAGAGGGGCTAAGCTCTCCCCTTCCTTGTCGGCTCCCTTCGGTATCGTCAGGCCTTCGTTTGGGTCTTCCTCCCCTTTTATTCCTAGAGAGGAGGGAAAACGAACCCCATAGGATGGTGAAGATAGGAGAGCTAAAAGAACAGCTAGTTTTGGTAAGTGGCTACCTACTCTCTTTGGATGTAAATTCCTCATCATACCAGCACTTTGATTCCATGTATTTCAATTTGACATGAATTTCCTGACTGCTCTCTCTGCACCCAGCAGGCACTATGAGGTACTGAACACTCAAAGATGATGAGGTTACAAGAGTGTTTGGGCCACTTATCAATCTACCTAGGGCAAAGAGAGTGGCCTAGGAGGAAGTCTGGGGGCTGACTCTGCCTGTGGCTCCTGAGTTAGGCAGCAGAACCTTTATGGCCTGAATCACTTCTGCTGGGAGATCCTGGTCACTGGATCATTTTCTCACAGGATATATCCATATTCCCTTGATTCCAACAGAGGTTTACATACCCAGGAACACATACCAACCCAAGCCTGCTAGGAGGGCCCAGACTGCACAAAGCCCATGAACAAAGTGAGGCCAGATTAGGATACCGCTGGGAGCACATCATGTAATAGAAGCCCTGGGGCTTCCCCTGGGGATGGGGAGAGGGTCACTATGAGTCAGCATTGACTTAATGGCAGTGAGTCTGGTTTGGAGTGGACTAATCAATAAAACTAGTTGCCTAGAGGCAGCAGATGTTTCAACATGGGTTGGGGACAAGGCAGGCTGGCAAACCCATGGCTTGTGGCTGCCTCCCCTGGGGTAAAACAGCAAGATTAAAAATGGCAGTTTTAGGTGTTACAGTTTGTTATTTCTCCCTACGTGCAAAATAAGTGGTTTCTTTGTTGGTGTTTTGGAGATGTAGAAGGATAAGCTCAGGGACGGGAATGAACGAATGACTAGATTTGTTGCTAAGTCTTGAGCTTTCAGCAGGCATGTTTTACCTCTTCTTGCCTCTAAGCAAGACAATCTCAAATAATAGTATGTTTCCAGAACACTGCTCACTGAGAGCCTGTAAGTGCTCTACAGGCCCTTAAACTCTGGTCTTTTCCACATTTATTCGGAACTAGCTCATTAAACTGCATTTTTGCCGCCAGGACTTGAGGGACAGAAGCATCTACCTTAGCCGTGGCCAAACCAAAGAAGCAAAGAAAAACAGCAACTACAAAGACATAGGGTCTATGTGGAAAATATGCAATCACTTGCAGTTACAGAGAAAAACATATGGAGGATGTGCACCAAACTCTCAGGAGGGCATGGGGAAAGGGGGATTGAGAGAGTACCCCTTCGTTGATCTATCACTTTGCATAGTTGCATCCTGTTTGGATTTTAGAAGTATGGATTAATTTTGCAATGAACAGAAAAAGGAAAAGGCAGATGCAGTGAAGAGGAAGCACAGAAGTCTCGGAAGGCCCTGGGAGATGTAAATGGTTAATGCACTCGGCTACTCACTAAAAGGTTGGAGCTTTGAGTTTCCCTAGAGGCACACTGGAAAGTCTTGGTGATCCACTTCTGAAAATTCAGTCATTGAAAACCCGATGAAGTACAGCTCCACTTTGACACACATGGGGCTCTCATGCGTCACAAATGAATTGATGATAACTCTTTGTAGGTGTGTGTGTTTTAAAATATGCCCTTACTTGAGACATTGATATGGAGACAACTATGTAAATAAGGAAATGGAGGCTTGAAGGGAGGGGTGTACTCGTACGTAAGCTCTGCTGAATGATTATTCTGTATCAAGTACTGCTTTTATTATCTCATTTCCCTTAACACATTTTAAGTTAGCAAAAGATTCAAGTATCTCATGTTTCCATATGTGGAAACTACAGTGCAAAGATATTCAGTAAATTATTCCAGGTTACATTGCCAGTGTGAAGTAAAACTTGGTTTGACCCAAGAGGCAGACGTCTAGAGCCTTAAAGCATAAGGACTATATGGTACTGCCTGAGAGCTGCCAGAGAAAGCAGAAGCTCCAGGGGTCCACGGGTGATCTACCAGTGCAGCTGCTGGATGAATATGATAGAGCACAAATGGAAATGATGAGAGGAATAAGATAATCCATAAGAAAACCAACGATGAGGAGATCTGAAAATGGCAAATTGCCCAGAGAGGACATTTCAGGTAGTAGAAATGGTACATACACATCAAGAGAGTAAAGAAAAAGCAGAACTAGAAAAAATTAGACTGGTAGGGGGGGACGTGGGTATAAAATTAACATCAGCTACATCAAGTACTTTATGCTCTCTTCAAAGGGTACCACCAGGAAGAAAATGAATTTTCTCCTAAGATACCTTTCAAATATACAATATATGAAGTGTCTCATAATATAGCAGGAGAGAGCTTTTTCAAACTTAAGAAGAGAGCGGTGTGTATGGACTCTTAAAAAAACACAGTATAAATCATTTTTTGTATGCACACACAACTAAGCCTGTAAGGTATTCATCACAGGACTAAGATATCTCACAAGCAGGGCACACTGGGCCTACTTTGTTAATAATCAAGACCATATTTTTGAGATTAATAATAACAAGCAATTAGAAATTCACAAGTCTTATTTAAGTCATTTTAAGCTGTTAGACTCGACTGCATCAATAAGATGGAATTTTAAAACTAATATTTGAACTTCAATAGTCTGTCATTGTTTTTATAAGTATCACGTACCTTTGAAGATTTCCTTTGCGATTTTCTTCTTCCTGTAATGAAACAATAAGTAAGTTTAACAGTTGACTCAACTGAATTTGGTCAACCTGGAGCCTTGTGTTAAGCTTTTTGTTCTGCTCTGCTTTCATACAACAATACCATCTAAAATGTTCATTGAGGCGAAGTTTTCGTCAAGAGTGCTACTGTTTCTAAGTCTTTTGGATACGTACAATTATAAACTCACACATCCAGAGCCAGATGAGGAGGACTGTAGCTTCAGTAGTCAAGGGAGGTGCCCAAATGACTGAGAAGAACCGGCTATAAACTTTGTATATAAATATACAGGAAGTTAGATCGTTTATGCTTCTTCAAAGAACTTATTTATGATTAATTCCAAAGCCAGATTTTATAGTTACCTGTGTGAGTGTCAGTGTAAAGTACTTATGAGTGTGTTTGTCAGTAAGAGGTGGAAGGAGTGAAGAAGCCGGTTGGGTGTTCTTGATCTAAAGTTTGCTATAGAAATTATTGGGACAACCTTAGACTTGAGCCAACATTTCTATATAGACACAGAGGTGAATTTTCAGTGATTTCCTCCTAAAGAAGAATGATATCAGGTCTATATGCAAAAATATAGAAAAACTAATTCCGAATGGATCAAGGAGCTAAATGTGAGACTCCATGAAACTCTGAGAAGAAAGCATAGGCTATTACTACAGAGTCTAGTTTTTAACGATGGATTATCAGATATGACACCCAAAGCAGGAGCAGCAAAGGATAAAATAAATAATGGGGCCTCATCAAAATTACACACTCTGTTCACCTTCACTAATGGGCTTTATCAATAAAGTATCTACACCTCCAGATTAGGAGAAAATTTTTGGGAACTATCTATCTGATAAGGACTTAATATGCAGAATATTTAGAGAAATCCTAGTGCAACAATAAGACAAACAAACCAATGGAAAAATTGGCAAAAGACAAATAAAAATGTCACCAAAGAGGATATGTTAGTGAACAGTCACCATTGACTTGGCTTTGACTTTAGCAGAATGAAATACTGACTGGTCTTACACCATCCATTTGTTATTATGTTTGAGCACAATGTTGCAGTCACTTTGTGAATTCATTTTATCAAGGGTCTTCTTTTCTGCAGACCCTCTTATTTTTATCAATTCCCATACCCTTTTTAGAAATGTACTTGGAAAGATGCTCAGTGTTATTATGCATTCCTTACCACCATCAAGTCGTTTCTAACTCATAGTGACCCCGTAGGATAGGGTAAAACTGCCCCTGTTGGTTTCTAAGACAGTAATTCTTTATGAGAGTAGAAAGCCTGATCTTTTTACCTCTGAGCAGCTGGTGGTTTTGAACTGCCAACCTTGTGGAGAGCAGTCCAGCCCATAACCACTAATCCACCAGGAGTTCTATTATACATCATCTCACTCCCACTAGAAAGACTGGTTAAAAAACAAACAAACAAAAAAAGGGGGATGGGGGAAGAAGTGGTGTTGATGAGCATAAGAAGAAGTTGGAACACTTATTGATTGCTGGTTGAAATTTACTGTGGTCTAGCCACTGTGGAAAACAGTTAGTAGCTCCTCAACAATCGGAACATAGAATTGCCTATCTTGAGTATCTACCCAAATTCACGAACAGCAATCCCAATCCTGAGTTTCTACCTAAATGAATTGAAAGCAGGAACGCAAACAGACCTGAATGCCAGTGTTCACTGGAGCACCAGCCCTAACAGCCCAAATATGGAAACAATCTAAATGTCCATTAACAGTTGAACAGGTATACAAAATGTGCTAAGTGTATACAACAGGTTATTACTTAGCCATCAATAGAACTGTAGTCCTGATGGATGCTACAATGAGGATGAACCTTGAAAATGTTGTTTTTGTTAGGGGCCATTGATTTGGTTCTGACTCATAATGATTCCATGCACAACAGAAAAAAACATTGCTGGGTTGGGCTCTATCCTCACATCCATTGTGTTTGAGCCCATTGTTGCAGCCACTGTGTCAATCCATCTCTTTGAAGGTCTTCTTTTTCACTGCTCCTCCATTTTACTCAGCATGGCGTCCTTATCTTTTGATAACATGTACAAAGTATGTTAGAAAACTCTCACCATTCTTGCTTCTAAGGAGCACTTCAGCTGTATTGCTTCCAACACATATTTGTTTGTTCTTCTGGCAGTCCATGGTACCTTCGATACTCTTCACCATAACCGTAATTCAAATGCATCAGTTCTTTTATCTTCCTTACTTAATGTCCAAATTTCACAAGCATTTGAGGTGATTGAAGATGCCATGAGTTGGATTAGGTGCACCTTAGTTCTCAAAGTGACACCCTACTCTGCAGTACTTTAAAGAGGTCTTGTGCAGCAGACTTACCTAATGTAATATGTTGTTTCATTTCTTGACTGCTGCTACCATGAGCACATTACAACCAATGAAATAAATCAGCCACAAATGGACAAATATTGTATGATCTTACTTATGGAAAAAGGCAAATCTATAGAGACCAGGCTTATTTGTAGTTACCAGGGGCAACAGGGAGAGTCACTACTTAGTGTGCATTGAGTTCATTTAACGGAGGCAGAGTAGCTGGGGAAAGGATATTGGTGATAGCTGTACAACATGATAAATGTACTCAACATCACCGAATTATATGTAAAGCGATTATTGAACCGGTAAATGTTTGAATATATATTTTTTACACACACACAGAACACTCTCACGGTCTTGTGTTGATGGTCTTCTTCATCTAGATGTTTGTCTTTGTCCTTTTTAAGATTTAGTAAATCTATCTCTATAAATTCAAAAACAAAACAAATAAGTGTCAGTTAGGTTGGCAGAGAACAATGTCAACACAAGGTTGTCCACTGAGAAAAAAGTCTTTTGCTGACATGTTCTTGAGGAAGCAGCAAACAGCCAAAAAAGCCTTTGCCAGTAACACAAATATATCTCAGGGGATAGTAAGTAGTAAGACGCATACTTCCCGTTAGGGAGTGTATAAAAGGTTTATACAGTGTGGTAGTTAAATAATCTATTGTCAATTTGGGACTTCAAAGTGAAGGGGTAGAGTTTAGCCTGTCAATCAGGTCACAATTGATGATCTGATTTGGAGGCACCACAGAGATAAATAGCTCACTGGAAGCTGGACAATCACACACTCCCTGCGAGACATTCCTGTTGCGAAGACACATGGAGCTACACTAGAGCCCTGGAGCTGAAGTAGCCATGTGGAGACCCCTGTCAGCCCTGAGATGGTTCCATAACCACTGGATCCACAAGACAGTCCACCCACTGACCTGTGAACTTCCTGCATTCGGCATCATTGCATATGTTGTGCGATTCTGAAGAGAAATTTATAGTTTGGTATCAGACATATGGGCTAATATCAGACTTATGGACTTGATCTGGGCTGGGCTGGGATATTTTCTCAATATTCAATTGCTCTTGTATATAAAGCTCTTTCTTATACACATATGAGTGTCTATGAATTTGTTTCTCTAGTCTACACAGACTAACACATAACAGCAAGAAGGAATGTAAGGGCTAATTAGTCCACACAGCAGTACAGAGTGCTCAGTTCAACTCACTTTTTGAAACAGTTAATATACTGAAGGTCCTTCAACTCACTCGGGCTGCTGGTCCAAGGTCGAGGAAGCAGAAAGGGGAGTCTGTCTCCAGGCAAGACAGACAAAGGCAGCAGACAGCAGGGTGGGGCCAGCAACAGTCAGTAGTGCCAGCTTAGTGAAGAAGGCCCTGATGGGATCTTGAATTCAAGTGATGTATTTACAGTGACACAATCCACCAGCCTTGAGCTCAGGTGATATATGCATCAGCTGCATGGCAAAGCAGTTCTCAAAGGAGCCTCAAACTTTAGTGACATGATCCACAGGTAGGCTCAACCCACAGGTAGTACAGCACATAGTTGAGGCAAAGAACTCGCTCAAGCATCATAATGCTGGTCTGATCACCAGGGAGGAAGAGAGCAGGGATGCCAATCATGGAAAGTATTTATCTCAGTTGTCCTCCAATCAAGCTACGACCTAATTAAACTCTGCCCACATGTTCCTATGGAGGCCTAGTTGGCACAATAAACCTAACTATCGATGTGAGCATGCCAACTGTCTCTGCCATGAAGTATGAAGTCCATGCTTGTACCTGTCTCTTTACCTGATCCTACTTTCCCTAGGTTATTCCACTGAACTATATGGAACTGCCAAAAGATAGACAATAAAGAATTACTGTGACTACCTAAATTCAACCTAATACATATGATTAGGATAGTCACATAGGACTTGTGACTATCTACATATTTCAACAACAAACAATTTGACATGAACTCTTCTAATTCTGTTCAGTGTCTGGGAGATCAAATCATAGATATAATAACTATAAAAATCTGGTTTAAAAATGGAATAACCAGGAAAAAAACTCTAACAAAAAGCTGAGGATATTACAGCATATAGCTTAGCTCACATTTGATAATAACACTTATGTAATGTCTCTAATTGTTGGGTCTATTTCTATTTGCATAAATATAATATGCCCGTGGTGCTTTTAAAGAGTGGCTGGTGGTATAGTGGTTATGTGCTGGTTGGGCTGGTACCCTCAACGTCAGAAGTTCTAAACTACCAGCCACCCCAGGGGAGAAAGATGAGGCTTTCTACTCCCATATAGAGTTACAATCTCAGAAACCACAGGGGGAAGTTCTACCCTGTCCTGTATGGTCACTATAAATCAGAATCAACTCGATGGAAGTAAGTTTGTTTTTGTTTGTTTGGTGGTATTTCGGGTAAAGGTTGGGCTGCTAACCACGAAGGTGGTTTAAATCTCACCAGTGGTCCACAGGACAAAGTGAGGCTCTCTGCAGTGAGTGTGGCTTCGTTGTTTTTCATATTCCTCACTTTTCTCTTTTTATCTGACATTTTCCATTGAGGGCCATAGTTTAAAAAAAAAATCTATTTTATGCATTAAGAAGGTGTTGGGCATGGCAACAATGACTGTGGGGCCTCCTCTCCCTAAAAGCTTGGCCAACCTGTTCCCCTCCCTCACCCTCAGCCCATGTCCTCCATTCTCCCCTGCCTGCAGGAGCCCTGTAGCCATTTGTTGCATGTGGCCTACTGTCTTGGTGGCCAGTGGATGTCTGTTCTGGGTTCTCAGATTCCGTGTCACTTGAGGTCCACAGTCAGGCTCCCAGCATCCTCACAAGAAACTTTGATGTTCCATCAGACCCAAAGCACAGAGCAAGCTCTGGATCCTGCATGCAGAGCTTACAAGGGTGGAAGTGGAGATGACTCTGTAAAGGAAGCCCTGACCCAACACAGAAAGAAGGCCCTCCATTCACACAGCCAAGCTTTATCCAGTTCTGTCTGCTCTAAGTGTCCTTCTCTTCAGAATAATACTCCATAAATGGACCCATCACAGTAGAGTGCATATCATTAAGTCTTAGCTATTATTATTTATATAATCATATTATCTATTTAAAAAATTCATCACATGGTCTGAAAAATAAGCCTAAACAAAAAACCTTCCATTTTCACATAATGCCAATGTTTGAGTAACAATCTGGTCTTTGGAACCTAATCATATCAGTGTATTTATAATGTATTATTGTTTAGCAAAATTTGCTTCTTCAAGCTGTTGGGTTATTTCCTTAATATATATATATAAAACTTTTGGGCTACTCACTTTTTATAATTAGAAGGCTATTATGATTTTAGAAAAATGGAAAACATACACTTCCCCAAATAATTTACTTATCATATGTTTTGTTGGACACAATTATTTGTGACACCCTTCCTTCTAAACAGGGTATAACCTCCATATTTCTAAACAAGAATGGAGAAAAGGAACAAAATCAAGTATCACAGAACACACAGGAGGTTACAATGAAGGCCACATGCAAAATCCTACCAGTAAGAAGATTTCACTTTTACTAAATTGAGAGGTTGGGATACTTGGAAGCCAGAAAGGGAGAGCCTGACCTAGCATTTTGGGTTTCAGTACAACTTCTACATGCTGTAAGAAACAATGAGAATGGAATAGCCATGCTGACCTCAGGTAGGCGGTTCCTGAACTCTCGGTCCCGTCTTCGGGGCAGATGTTCCTCGGGCTCCGCATCTAGTGACAGAGCATCCAGATAGAGGTTCTCACTGGCTGAACACCTGTCCGACTCCTTCAACTTGGACAATGGCTGGTCTTCAAAGGGGATGGATTCCACATCGGTGCAGGGCCACATGCCCTTGGTTCCAGGTACACAGAGGCCTCCTTGGTCAGGGAAGGGGCAAGGGCTGCCTTCTTTCTGCTCACAGAGGAAACTGCCACCTTTCCGGGGACTGTTTTCTTTCTGCAACTTGAAAGTAGTAAAAGGGAAAATAATTATCCTCATACTTTCCCCTGTTGCTCTCCCTAAGGCCATATTTTTTCCACAATTTGAAATTATGTAAGGATAAACTTGAAAGACTTTGAGAGACTGACCTTAATTTCTAAATGTCATACATAATATGACACATTATACCATATGTCACATATCTTTTGCTCTTGAGTCAATTCCAATGAATATCAACCACATGTGCTACAGAGTGGAACCGCTCCATAGGTTTTCTTGACTATAGTCCTTACAGAAGCAGGTTGCGAGGCCTTTCTTCTGTATTGCTGTTGGGTGGGTTAGAACCACCACCCTCTAGATTGGTAGGTAGAGGTTGTTACAATCAACCTCTTGGTAGTAGTTACAAATGCTTAAAAATTTTTTTTAACCCCACAGTCTTTTTTTGTTTGTTTGCTTTTTTAAACACGTTTATTGGCACTTCATCCACAGATCATATAATTCAGTAATTAGTCATATCAACAAGAGTGGTACAATCATTAACACAATCAATTTTCTTTTTGGTTGTGATTTTCTTTTTTTTGTAAATCATTTTATTAGGGGTTCATACAACTCTTATCACAATCCATACACACATCAACTGTGTAAAGCACATTTGTACATTTATTGCCCTCATCATTCTCAAAACAATTTCTCTCCACTTAAACCCCCGGCACTAGGTCCTCATTTTCCCCCTCCATCCCCGCTCCCCACTCCCTCATGAGCACTTGATAGTTTATAAATTGTTATTTTGCCATATCTTGCCCTGTCCGACGTCTCCCCTCACCCACTTTTCGGTTGTCCATCCCCTAGGGAGGAGGTCACATATAGTTCCCTGCAATCGGTTCCCTCTTTCCTACCCACTCTCCCTCCACCCTCCTGTTTCGCCACTCACACCACTGGTCCTGTAGGGCTCATCCACCCTGGATTCCCTGTATTTTCAGTTCCTATCTGTACCAGTGTTCATCCTCTGGTCTAGCCAGACTTGCAAGGTCGAATTTGAGTCATGGTAGTGGGAGCACGGAGGAAACATTTAGGAACTAGAGGAAAGTTGTATTTTTCATCGTTGCTACATCGACCCCTGACTGGCTCATCTCCTCCCCGAGACCCCTCTGCAAGGGGATCTCCAGTGACCTACTAATGGGCTTTTGGTCTCCACTCTGCACTCCCCCCATCATTCACTATGGTAAGATTTTTTGTTCTGATGATGCCTTATACCTGATCCCTGTTAGAAAATTTATCTGCAAATGGAAAATCTTTATTATCTAGCACAAGTGTACTCAGCTTGTTTAGACTAGAATACACATGTTATACAGCTTTGAGTGCCATGGTCATGGGAACTACATATTTATAGCATTTGTCCAATAGCTCCGAGTTCGAACTTTTCACTACTTAGTCAGCAAAACTGGGGGAAAAGCTGCTCAGTGTTCCTAACTTTGCTGGATAATTGAACAGAAAATCCAACTTGGAAAAACTTGTACAAGCTGAGAGTGAGTCTTGCATTGTGTCTCACCTTCGACACAAAGGGGCGACAATTCAGTCCAGGTGTCACTCTCCCTCAGCCAACATATCATGCTTGTGTTAAAACATTTGTCACTGTGCTTTTTATTTGCATAAAATATCGTAACCCTGGTTCCAAAGAAAGTTAGTGTAGCAACAGTGAAGCTAAGAGGAAAACTATGAGAACCTTGACAGAGTTAACGAAATCACTGTGAAATTGAATCAGGTCGCCATCTATCTGATTTGGTAGCTGAATACAACACATGGCTAAGTCAACAATATCAGTAATTTGGAAAAAAAATGCGATGAGAGTGACTGAGGTAGTGAAAGGTAAAATTGTTACCCACAAAACAAAGACCGAGACCATGTAAGACATTGAAAAGTTACTGTTAATTTGGATAAATCAGGACCAACTCGCTGGTGACAGCGAGATAGTGATATGCAAGACGGCTAAAAGCCTCGATAAGTGATAGAAAGTCCTGGAAAAATAAATTTTTAAGTGTAAATTTTGGGCTTAAGAATCAGTTATTTGGTTTTCCATTATTACCTAAAGGGAAAAATTTGTCCAGCTCTATAACTTTTTGGTGTTCTGTCATGAAGTTGGGAATGAATTGAGTTCTACAACTGAGAAATCCCTGTAGTTATTTTTAAATATAATATTGTTAAATAACCAGGAGCCCTATTGTGAACTGGTTACATGTTGGGCTGTGATCCACAGGGTTGGCAGTTAGAAACCACCAGCAGCTTCGCAGGGGGTTAGATCCATAAACAATTACAATCTTGGAAACCCACAGGGTTGCTATGAGTCAGCATGGCCTTGATGGTAGTGAGCTATTGTTCAACGACTTGTTTAGAGTTAACTTTTGGAATTGCCTTCCAAACTTAATGCACACTCAGTGGAATGTCATCTGTGACAGCAAAGGTGTGAGGCTGAATTTGACTTTCCTAACTCCACACAGATCATTTGGAACAGGTCCTACACATAACTTGAGTTATCAAATGGGGCTGTGATGGTTTAGTGTGAAAAACAAGATGTATTTTGCTTGAGAAACTTAAAATTTAGCTGAAAAGGGAGTTGCAAGATGCAACGTGGCTGAAAAAAAATGCAGGACATGATTTTTGGGGTTTTTTTTTGACTAAGCCGTTATAGGAGAAAGTAAAGCTAATGTGAGTCAGGGAGACATGAGTTGGAATCATGCTTATATGACTTCTTGGTTGGCTGGCTGAGTGAATACCCTAAAGTCTCTCCATTGCAGCAAATCTGTAAAATGGGAGTGACTGTCTTCCCGCAGCAGTACCCACTACTGTGTTGGTGAGACCACCTACTACTGTAGGGTCTTCCCTGTTCTCTTGGGCCATGGCTCATAGACCAAGCCTGCCTTGACTAGTTACAGGCTGGATGTAGATCCTGGAGGGTATATTTCAGGAGAGAAGCCAGTATAGAGTTATAGGGTATGTGTTGCTGTGACAGGAGGGGATATGGCAGGCCGTGCAGCTGCCCTCATTCCATTGAGGGGCCTTTACCTGTGGTGTGAATTTCACTCTGCATTTTTTCCTTGTTGTTCTTTGTCCTAGGATGTCCAAGAAAACAAGGTCAAGGCCTGAGGAAGCTGTACCAGAGCGCCCTTAGGAAGATCTTTGCCATAAGACGGCATTATCAGACCATCTCTTGGGTAGATTGCTTTTTTAAGAAATAAATTATATGAATGACTACAGTAACATTTTAATTTGACCTGAAGGAGTGGCAGAATGACTTTAATAGTTAAATGTTGAGATGGTGCCAAGAAATTCTATAACTCGCTTGGAAGCATATCAGTTTATGTATGTAAAAGAATATCTTTTTAGACTATACCTTTGTGTCCTAAACATTCATCCTCATGTTGGACATAAGCATGGCCTATGTACAGCCTAGATCAAAGCCATGTGATATAATGGAGACATGGATGCTGACTCAATTTGAGTAATTTCTTGGGTGGTAAATCAAGTCTCAAGAGCATCAGCCCTTTGCTATGAAGCCCTGAGGGTCTAGTGAGTTATGTGACTGGCTACTAACTTCAAGACCAGCATTTTAAACCTATCAGCTACTCCGTGGGAAAAGGATACGTTTTTCTGTTCCTATAAAGATTTTCAAAGGCTTCTGGGAAGATGGAGCTGATGTAGAGTCCCCTATGTAGAACTTCCCTTGTGTATCCAAGAGATCAACAGGTGAGGAGGCCAATTCTGGAAATTTAGATGTAGGAGCTAGACTCTCAGCAATCTGGAATTTTTTTCCGACCTCCCACTTAGATTTTCACCTACGGAGAAAGCAGCAGAGTTAGCTATGCTAACTCCCCTATCTCCCCCGTCTCCTCACCCCAGGATGTTTTTGCCGATCTAGCTCTCCGGTTTCTGCCTATGGAGAACGTAGTGGAGTTCATGGTGGCGTCCCTTCTCCGCTAGCTGGTGGTCTCTCCTCTCTCCTACCATAGCAGGGTTAGTTACGTGGCGAGTGCCAGCCTCTTCCCTTCTCCCCTAATTCTGAGAATTGCCAGCATGAGGGAATATCCCAAGCCAGACTCTCCCCCAAGTGCAGCCCCACATCACTGCGGACCTCTGAGAGCAATGGATGCTAGAGTGCAGAAGCCCACAGAACAGAGACTGCATAGCTTTACTCCTTTAGAGTCCCGCTCCTCCCCTCCTTGCAAGGGTGTGCTCTCCAGACATACACCCAGCTCATGCTAAAGGGATCTAGCCCCAGCAAGAGAGGAGCCCAACTTGAACCCACTGTGGGTTCCAAGAGTATATTGGATTTGTTCCTATTTTCTTTTGAGGAAGAAACCACGAAACTCTTTCCTACCATAGAAACTGGAACCCAGCATTCCTGGGTTTCTCAGATGCTCCCCACTCCCCTGTCTAGGCAACTGGTGGACCCTGGGGCTCACTATCCTTTGCAGGATCACCTCCTGATTGGAATTTCCCCCTCCCTGCCACCTTGGGCCCCCACTCCAATAGCCTATTTCCATCCTGGGACCATATTCGAAGAGCAGAAAGTACTGATTTGTGCAAAAACTCAGACTACCCCTTTTACCACAAACACAGTAACAGAAGGGCTGCACTCTCCCTATGTAACATACAGGGTTGTTAAGTGGCTCTGATAGATGGCTTAATATACCCCTCACCTACCCTAACCACCATTAACTCTTCCCCCACCTCAGTAATACACGGCCCTGCACCCCCTACCCCAGTAACACACAGTAAACTCTCTTATAACCTCCAGAGTCACAACACATCTCTTGTCCAACACATCAAATATTACTATACTCAGCAAGAAGACATCCTATGATTAATACCACCACTCAAAAACAGCTTATATCCTATTCTTCCTATTGGTGACCGTCATGAGGTGCAATCTATACAGCATCCTGGAGCAGGCATAAACAGTGAATAGACCTATTAGTCACGCGATCACGGAGCTCCAGACCAACTCAGTAAAACTAACCCACTGTCCC